TGGGGGGGGGGGGGTATAGTAATAGTAGGAGTTTTGCGGCACTTGCAATACAATAATAAGGTCATATCAGTGCCGAAGATTAAAGGTGTTACAAGAGAGCGACAAACACAAAAAAAGGAGGAGAGATCAGGACGATATATGTTCGATAGGAAAGATGGAGCAAACTACACCAGAGCACCCGCCAACCTCCAAAGGTGGGGGAGGGGGGGCACCAATAAGAAGGTTATAAATAGAAGGTCCTTGGGGATCAATCATATGCCTACCACTAATCCCTCTACAGAAGTCTTTGAGGCATTCGGCTCTCATCAGAACAGTAATCAGGGAACAATCACTGCGCCCATAGAACAAGGTCGAGGAGTGTAGGAGGGGTGAGGGGGGGGGTGTCCAGGGGGCCGCTCCAATAGTACACGTACAATGTATTTAAGTTTTAGGGGCCGTTTGGTTGAAAGGGTTGGAACGCTTTTCACGGGACAGGTCAGCCCATTAACTATTTTCAAAAAGAAGAATTTTGGCACAATTTCAAAAACGTCTAGTCACGCGTGCTGTCATTCTAAAGAGCATTCAAAAGCCTTTTCAGAAAAAAAGATTTTCACATAACGAGGTACTGGTATGGGCGATAAAAGAGCGACCTTCTCCTAACACATTCCGAGTCTCTCGCTGAACTAACTCTAAAATCTTTACGGGCACAATGACAGAATAGCCCTTTGTAGTGTAACGGTTAAACTCTTTGACATAGCACACAGAGGACGGGAGTTCCATTCCGCTTTGGAGAAGTTATTGTATCGAGTAGGGTCGATACGGCCAGCCTCCTAAAATGATGCCACGTATGCCGAAGGGGGCATAAAACATTAACAATCAACCAACCATGATAACCAAAGTTGTGCAAAGAGGTGTTACAAGAGAGCAACAAACATAAAAAAGGAGGGGAGATAAGGACGATAGACGTTGGATAGGATTGAAGGGGCAAACCACACCAGAGCACCTGCCAACCACTCACTTCCCTACTCCGTCCCTTTTCAGACCAACAAGCCAACTCCTGGGAAAAACAAGAGAGTGGGGTTTGGGTGTGGGCTCGTGACACCTGTGTATAGAGCACCGGTGGTGGGGGAGGAGGCTGTGGCGACAAGAGAAGGGTTTTGTTTTTTAATGTTGTTATTTTTTTATGTAATAGTTTTACGGCACTTGCTGAACAAATAGATAATATAAGTGCTGAAGATCAGTGGTGACCGTGTTACTAGAGACTAACATGTGGAAAAAGAGGGAGAGTTTTTAGTTTTAGTAGAGGTTTTACGGCGCTCGCAACTGTTTAAGATCATATGAGCGCCAAGGGGTAGATGTCAACAGAGAAGTCCTTACATTACAGGGAACCAGGCTTTCTCTGCTCACCACTCAAGCTTCATCGGCACAGTCTGCTTCGACTATCAAGATACCCCAGAAATAGTGGGTCACAAGAGTGTGACAAACATACAGAAGAAGTAGAGGAAAATAACGATAGTAAGGATTAGGAAAGAAAACGCAGCAGTTCCCTGTTGCAGTTCAGGAACAGTTATGAGTATGACATTGATGAATCAGTCCATTTACAATTCTACAGTGCACAAGAATTAGGAACATGGTAATGTCCCCCCCCCTTTTTTTGGGAATGGCCTAAGGACACTTCAGTCAGTAGCACCGCCCCTGGGGAGGGTGGGGGGGGGGTTAAAGGGGGAGAGATGAGAACAATAGACGCTAGGAGGGAAAGAGGGAGCAAACTACACCAGAGCACTCGCTAACCACCCACATGGAGAGAAAAGTATAACCTGGAGTAAAAAAGAACCACTTTGACAAGACACGGTAACAACCATTTTGGGTCACGGGACAAGCAAGACAAATAGACACCGAAACAACAGTGGGAAAGAAAAAAGTGAGACCTACTGATTGCATCCTCACCAAAAACAAGCATACATGTTACATATTATAATAATAATTATTATTATCATTTTCATTTATTTTTTTAAGCTCGTCCGTCAATGTCTGACGATGACCAATACATCCACAGAAGATAATATTTCTCCAGTGAAATAGAAGAATTTGAAAAATTTCCGTTTGTTTCATCACAAGCATTTTTACAGATTCAGATTCCAATGCCTCATTAAAATTAAATTTGGTTTTCCGCTTTCAACATGGAAACTGCATTGATAGCAGCTGTGCAAAAACACCTACCTTTAATAGACAAAACAACAGAATTTTAGTCCAACAGAAGAAATTACGCTCAAATAAATGGAAAGAAATTGGAATGGAGCTTGAAGTTGATAGCAACCACATTCTTATCTTATGAAATGGCTACATTGAGAGAAAATTGAGCGAAAGACAAAGGACAGTGGGACAGGAGGAAAAAGAGAGAATGGGAGAGCGAGAGAGACAGTGTGTGTGTGTGTGTGTGTGTGTGTGTGTGTGTGTGTGTGTGTGTGTGTGAGTATGTGTATGTGTGTGTGCACATGAGAGAGAGAGAGAGAGAGAGACAGAGAGAGAAAGAGAGAGAGAGAGTAAAGAAGTAGAACCAACCTCCATTGAGGTTTCCTCTGACCACCCTTGAGAATAAGCTGGAGGTAGAAAAATAAAAGTAAGCCAGAAAGTTACAGCGTGACAGTGCCCTGTATAGAAGTGCTTGTCAAAATAATGAAATCAAAGAAACCTAACATTTCTCCACTCATGAAGCAATTTTTATTGAACTTTTTTTTTGGGGTGGGGTCTCAAAACTTTTTATATGTTCATTTAAAAACACATTTCTGAGGGAATTTTGCCGAAAAACATCAAAGACACCAAAAAATGTAAATTTGCAGTTTCCAAGGACACATACGCTTTAAAAGTCACTGAACTTTGGCAGCCATTTTCTCGCTAATTTTACTTCTCAAACTAGGCGACCCCTATATACTTCAGTTGCAACATCTCGACCTCTGGATATTTTTAAAAATCAAAAGTAAGACTAATGAACACACATTAAAATCAACCCATTTGGCCATATGCCCAAAAAATTGACGAGCGCCTGATTCCACCGCGTCGTTACACATAAATGTCTTACCTTGGTCGTCATCTGCCATGTCCTGTGAGAACAGCGGATCATGTTGCCTTCTGTTTGGATCCATGTCAATTTAAAAACACGTCCTTCAAGTCTGTCTGTGAAAGTTATGGCTAAGTCTGAAAAAGGTACAAACATAAAATGTTTATTGTCATTCTGATGATTAGTAAACATCTAGACCAGGTACCTGTAAGAAACTACAAAGTCTCCCCAAAACTAAGTTTCATGTTCTAGAACTTCCGCTGAGACCTGGAAATATCACAGTGGTGAACAGGAGAACAAAAAAGGAACTAGAAACTATCTGCACACATGGAGAGATGGCCACCATCTACAACAAAGACTACAAATGTGAACAGAAAAAAAACTACCACCAGGAACTGGAGGACAACTACAGTGAAAAAAAGAACTACCATGTACAAAAATACAACTATAACTACTATTTTTCTGTCAAATAGAACGGCAAGCAGGGGAAAATACAAAATCAAACAGCTCTTTAAGAACAGTGGCACCAACTGCTGCTGGTGTTTAATAAAGTGTTGGTAACCATTATTGAAAATTCCCTTTGGAAATTGATACTTTACCGATCAACTGAGCCAGTATTACTACAACTATTGTTCTAAAATCAATTTAACCTTTGACAAACCTATGCTCCCCATCAAACTCAGAATCTAGATCTCGCATCTGTCAGTACCCAAGGCCAGGTAGTTGGCAGGTGAAAGCAGGAACTCCTTTTAACGCCATCCATAGGCATGCTCCAATACGCATATTTTTTTTTTATAATAGGTCTCAACTCAGAATTTTTTTAAAGGAGGAACTTTCTGCATGATCGCAACAGAAAAGCCTTTTCACAAGACACCCATTATTATTATACTGTTTAACCCTAGAATTCAGAAATAAAAGCCATCAAATTATCAAAGCAAGGTTATCTATTATAATAATAATAACAAATTGCATTTATATAGCGCATTGCCACAAAGAAGTGCTCAATGCGCTGTACAATAAGACAAAGAACATATGCAGCGCACAGCTCCTATAGTAATCCTCTTTCTCTCTCTATTTCATACCAATCTGAGGGTTTGGAAGATAATTTCAAGTAAAAGAGTCACTTACCAAAGATTTACAATTTTGATTATGTACAGAAAGAGGTGGCACATTTTTGGGTAGTGGAGTTTAGCAGATGGCTGTAGCTGAAATCCGCTAAATAGCAAATATTGAGACCTGTGTTTTTGATATATATATGACGAATGTTTCACTTCTGTATGTATAATTTAGACGGTCAAGTGCACAATCACTTGGACCCCTAAACGCATGCTTCAATCTGTAAAACATGCCAACTACAAGTAAAGATTGACAAAGGGAAATCCTTGCAACAACCTAGACAGCAGGCATCATGAAAACAAAGACAAGTCTAGACAGCCAGATATTAGGCGAGACTGCTCCTCGCCCAGAACAATGAAAATGATGGAACAGCTTCGTGTTCACACCTTTAAACTCACAGAACTGGGCAAGTGACTTTTTTTTTGTTGAAGGGGGGGGGGGGGGGGGGGGAGAGAGACTGAAATATGAAATGTCTTTTGACTGGTCACTCGAAATGCATCTTCAGGAGAAGGCTTCTCACTGGTGTTTGGGTGACTGTAATGTTTAGTTTAGAAAGCCTATGATGCGTAACAAGTGTGGATGCTGTAGAAACCTAATTTAGACTATTGGATCAATGATTTAGTCAAATGTATCAGCTGCCTTCTAAGAATTTTTACAACAACCGTGAATTGTGAATGCTGTAGAAAACTAGTAGGATATTTAGCCGCTTTTGAAGATATTAATGTACTTGTTAAACAAATTACACGAGAAAAGTCTCTCTGAATGTCTGATGTTGTCCATGCATTTACCAAGTTGACAGGTAGACAGGAGTGGTAGCTTGAAATACTGCATGGCTGAGCACTCTTCCCCTAAAGTCCACCACCAACAGTTTCCACCTGTTCCTCCAAACATATTAGTGCACATAAGTAGTCTTTTTGCATTTTCCACCACTCAATGCCTTTATAAACGAAACCAAGTTCGGGGAATCATTTATAAAACAGTTAGATTCCATTACATTATCGATGAAATCGACCCCAGCTCTCCAAGGGAAGTAACAGCAATGAATAAAATATCAAGGATATGAGATGGTTGCATCCCTTTCCTCCGTAGCATGGGTTTGCAAGTATTTATAGCGCAAGCTTCATGTAAATGCACGCTTAGGACCCCTATCGTATATCATTTTTAGGGGGAGACAACTGTGAGAAAACAATGAGACAGAATAACCTTCTTTGACAAAATAATCCCTTTCAATGATTTAAATTCTAATCTAAGGCTCCACTAAGCTAAGATAAAGAAAGGACACTCTTTCAGGTTGTTCTGTAATAAATGTACTTTTTTTTCATTTATTATCAGCCATCTTACAGACCTACACATGATATTTTACTTCATTCATATTTGTTATATTCAGGGTTAGGGTAGTAGGAGATGGGGTAGCTTTAGATGTATATACGGTACAGGGTACATTACCCTGATTACTCCATACATTAACCCTAGCCATTATCTAGCAAATTATCATTGTGAATAAAACGGGCAGGTCCGGAAGACTGCCTATTGAATATCAAGACAAAATCTGTCGCAAACTAAATTGTTTTTAAAAATATTTCATGGTTTTTAATCGAGCCACATCACACTTTAAGCTTAACTGCATAGTAATGTGCGCCCTTTAGACCAATCGGGGAGTTTCAGGGGGCCCTGCCTCCCTGAAGTAAAAATAAAATCGGGGGGGGGGGGGGGTTACAGGGAGGAATCCCCCCCTCCCTGCTTTAACCCATAAATTGATAATTTGATATTTTGCAGTTAAGTTCGAAATTTTCTTTAAAATAATTGATTTGCAACAGTTTTTGTAGCTGTGGTGATCTGCAGCAAAAAATACTTGCAGTTTGACCCCAAAAGCAGAGCATCTGTGTGCGGGAGTGAAAGTAAAATATCTCTCTCTCTTGACCTTTTTAACTCCCAGTGGAGCATAGGCCATTGACAACAACATTTCTCCAGCGAAGCCTGTCCTGTGCATTAAAGTAAAAAACATACTCTTTCAATTCCATCTTAGACTCACATATCATGTCGAGTTACAGTGCTTTTCCTGTTTATTTCTTTTTATAAATAGTTTTCATAAATTTTGACTTTATCATCAACCTAAATATTTTCACATTAAATTATGATGCAATATAATGGGAAGGGGGGGGGGGGGCATGCCCAGTTTACCTTCTTCCTCTCTTCCTCAAAGTAGCACACACACACACACACACACACACACACACACGTGCGCACACAGACACAAGCACGCACACACAGCGAAACCTATTTCACGCTTAGCAGCAAAGCAGGCCCGGCCGCCACAGTGAGATCTAGTCAACTGGCAAAGGAAGCCGCGGAAGACGACAAAAATAGATTGCGGAAATACGTCATCTATATTTGGGCCAATCACAGAGGAGTGCTTGGTGCTCACTGCAGCTTCATGTAAAAAGAACACTTTTAAGCAAAAATAGAAACTTGACTTATGCTGCTCATTGCATCAACTGTCTAGCTAGATAAAATTTTACCAAGTGGCAACGAGGTCGGTTACAAAATTGAGTGACAGACAACATATGACGGTATTTTTACAGAAGCACTGCCGTTTCGCGTCACATCCACTACCGGAAGTCAGCTCCTTCACCACTTTAGTGCCGTCGGATAAGAAAAAGGTCAGTTTTTTTTAGTTAAGGCTTAGTTTTAAGGTTTTATTTTGATAATGATTGCTTTTAACTCTTATCCTGCGTCTGTTCCCAGATGCATATCTTATCAGCAAACTGATTACGTCGGACGTGCTGGGCAGGCCGCCGGGGTCACTCTGTGTGTACTGTTGGTGTACAGCACGAGCGCCCGGAAACGTGTGTTTTCGCCATGAATACCGCGGGAGCGTGTCAACCGATGATGAAAATAACGCTCTATCTTTCATAGCTTTCTATTTATAAAATGTTACAAACACATGAAAAACCCCCTCTCACAAGCTGATAAGACACTACGAGTAGTTACGCCCATTCGAATAACCTTTCTGGACGCTCTTGTTGTTATGAATGACCTGAGGTCCGAAAGGGGATAATTTAGGTCAATTTCCGAATGTTTTTCACTCAAATTGTTCTCTTGTACCTGCACAATGGTATTCAAAACTATCAAACAAGCTTATTTTTTATCAGGTAGTATCATTTCATACAAAATCAAGCTCAATTGAAATATTTTGTATAGAAAAATGGAAGTCTTGTTTCCTGACTATCCTTTCGAGCTCCTCATGTCTAAGTGGGTCAATTTCTTTTATAATTTCATTGGACGAACATCTAGAGCTACCAACTTGGCATCTTTTGAATGAAACGTATGCCTCGATTGCGAACCAACGCAGGTGGTTCTAGAAGAAGGCCACAAACCCACACAAACTCAAGCAGACTGACGCACACACACTTGACCTGCGCGAACACGGATCCGACTCGGGACCCGAATGACACGTAAGAGATGTGCGCCGCGCTGAGCCAGGGGCTACACTGATTCAGGACCAGAACGTAAGCGAGGTGCCGAAATAGGCTTATCGGGCGACATAAACCCAGCTCCCGCAGGATGAAAGTTAATATAGTCATTAGGAGGGTTTCAGGGGGTCTCCCCCTGATGTGTGAGTAGGCCTACGTTATAGCTGTGTAGTGGGTCGGGTAGGGGGCCCTGAAATAAAGTGCCATAACATCTAATAAACTAACCATTTGTGACGTTTTTCAATGCCAAAATCATGTTCAGGGCCCTAAAAAACCTAAAAAGCTACAAAATAATACCCTCTATGACATCCTATGAGACGAGAGGGTTTCTATAAAGGCCACCTCTATTCTCACCCCAAGTGAGTATAGCGCAGGCGAGTCTTTTGGCTATTCTCACCCGGTGGGCGTTCACCGTTATAGCCTGGGTCAACCAGTGTAGCGTTCACCCTGAACCACAGAATTCTACACTGTAATAACAGAATTGTATAATTCTGTGCCGTGAACAAACTACTGATTATTACTACTATTACTACTGATAGTGTTAGCCTAAAAGCGTGCAATTTTGTCAGTGGGCA